CGGCACATCGACGCCGGCCTGGCCATAATGGCCACGATGGACGGGCCGGAGGTGTACAGGGACAGGGCGATAAGCCGGCGCCTCAGACGGCTCCTACGGGACCCCCCGGGTAACGATAATACCCATATAAAAGAACAGATTATGCTGGACCTGGCTGCCCACGCGGGCTGGCACCAGGAGGTCCTGTGCGCGTTGGAGTGGGTGAAGCTCGCCCTGTAGGCGGCTGGAAGCGGCGGAAGGTTGGGAGCTGTTGATGAAAGGGAGACAATGGTCGAGTCGGTTGATTTTGATTAGTAGTTAGGTATGGAGCGCAATATACCCAGTTTTCCCCAATACGTAATACACGGTACGGCCCCGGCGGATTGCTCCGTCGGGGGGAAGTAGAGCTTATAAATAAGGTAAGAATAATTAGTTATAAACTAAAGGAATTATTATAATAAAAAATAGTTAACGTATAGTTAAATAGAAGTAAATATTTAAAATTATTAAAGTAGTAGCTTTTATTAAAGTAATAGATATAAAAATTTACTTAGTTATTAAAAAAGGGGCTTTTAAAATAAAATAAAAAGCTAAAAAGATAAAGAATACTAGCTAGCTTTAGCTTATATACGTAATTAACGGTTTAAATAATAAGCGGCTATTAAAAAGGGGGTAGTCAAGGCTTATATATAATAGTATATAATTAACAATTATCTACCCGTTTAGCTAAGGAGGCCGTTTAGCTAAAAAGCACCTACTTTAGTAGGTGATGAGTCCCGAATGCCCAAAAAAGTGGGGGCGGGCACGAGTAATCGGAGTCCGTGAATAAGGACATCACGGAAAACACGGGCACCGGTGAAGTGGAGCCGATCGGCACCGGAGCACAAGAGGGCTCGGCGTCGCCCACCGCGGATTAGCGCCTCGGCAAATGGAAATTGCAGCTGGAAGCACGACCCACGCCGCAAATTTCTGCTGATTGGTGCTGTTCTGCCCCAACAGAAAGGGGTATCCCCATTACGCGTGTTGTGTTTGCTCTTCTCATGCCACCGCGTCACGTCAAGTGGAAGCCGGCGTTTCACTCTTTATTCTGAAGCCAGCTGAGATATCTATCTCTTAAGTAAGGGTCAACACTGATAAAATCCATCGTGCTGAGTCAGGGACAATTCTAAACAACCATGGCTCCAAAGAAGCACAGCTATGAGTTCGGAGGCCCGTAAGTTCCGCGCTCTACAGCCGCTTCTCATACCCAATCGCTGACTATTTGATGTTCGCCCAGTCCCGGCGCCTTTGCCATCGTCTTTGGACTTCCCGTCCTCTTGTGGACCTTCTTCTTCGTCTGCAATGACAAGACCGGATGTCCCGCACCGTCCACTTTGAGCCCTCGCACGTTGACCTTGGAGAAGCTCAAACTCGAGACGCCATGGCCCGCAGATGGAATCTGGGGCTTCTGTAGCTGGGAAGCTTTCGGCTGGAGCATCGCCTACTACTTTGTGAGCTTGGTCTTGTACCGCGTTCTCCCTGCTCAGGAGATGCTCGGTACCAAGTTGGTTCAATCTGGTCGCCCATTGAAGTATCGCTTCAACTGTAAGGTTTCTCAATTCAAACACTCAATGGATCCATCTAACCCAGGGACAGCTTTCAACGCCACAGTCTTCCAGCTCGCCGGCCTGGCTATCGGCACCTACCTTCAAGGCGCCGACTTCGTCGTCTGGACTTATATCTCAGACAACTACCTCCAGCTCTTGACCGCCAACACCATCCTCGCTTATATCATCACCGTCTACGTCTATGTCGCCAGCTTCAGCGTGAAACCCGGCAACCCAGAGCTACGTGAGCTGGCTGTCGGCGGCAACACCGGCAGCCTCATCTACGACATCTACATCGGCCGCGAACTGAACCCCCGCATCACCCTGCCCTTATTCGGCGAGGTTGACCTCAAAGCCTGGCTGGAGATGCGCCCCGGTCTCACCGGCTGGGTCATCCTCAACCTTGCCTTCTGCGCAAAGCAGTACCGCACATACGGCTACCTCTCCGACAGCATCCTTCTCACCACCGCCGTGCAGGGCTACTATGTCCTCGAGGGCCAGTTCATGGAGGCCGGCTTGCTCACCATGATGGATATCACCACCGATGGCCTGGGCTTCATGCTGACGTTCGGTGACATCGTCTGGGTGCCCTTCCTCTACTCCACCCAGACCCGCTACCTCTCCGTCTACCCCGTCCACCTCGGCTGGGCTGGCGTCGCCAGCATCTTTGCCGTCTTCGCGACTGGCCTGTACATCTTCCGCTCTGCGAACAACCAGAAGAAGGTCTTCCGCACGCAGCCTGATCACCCGAGCGTCAAAGATTTGCCCTTCATCCAGACGAAACGCGGTACTAGGCTGCTTACTGGTGGATGGTGGGGCAGGTCTCGTCATATCAACTACTTTGGCGACTGGCTTCAGGCTTCGCCGTTCAGCTTGCCGACTGCCGTGTCCGGCTACCAGATCCTCAGTGCTGGCAGCGCCGTGTCCGGTGCTATCACGATGATTGACGGGCGTGAGGTCGTTCAGGGCGCTGCTCGTGGCTGGGGCATGATCTTCACGTACTTCTACGTGCTGTACTTTGCCATCTTGCTTATTCATCGCGAAGGGCGGGACGATGTTGCTTGCACCGAGAAGTATGGCGAAGATTGGGAGAATTATAAGAAGATTGTTAGATGGAAGATTCTGCCCGGGGTCTACTAGGGGAGTCGAGTAAGGTGGGCAATGTAACCGTCAATTTCACCCGACGGTAAATACATTGATGTCATCAATCAAGCTGGAGGTGACATAATTTGGGACTTGGACTGTGATTTGCATCTGGACTATGTTGGTGTATGCCTCCTTTATGTAGCACCATATTGGAGAAGCATAGCCTCGATTTTCCCCGAGATCTCCTTGATGTTTCTCAGGCGGTGGTCGACGACTGCCTCAAAATATTCTCCACAGCCGGAGATAGCCTGTAGACAAGGCATTTGGGCCTCAGATTGACATATTTGGAGCGGCGTCATACCACTCAGATGGTCGCATGCACGTAGTATGGTGTGCTCTGGCCGATTCATCGCAGCCGGATTCCCTCTAGCGTTTGGTTTCGCGCCATTCTCGAGCAGAAGTTCCACCCCATCCTGATCCAAACAAGCGACAGCGATTTGTAATGGCGTGACTACGAAGTCTGGTGCATCTGTTTTCGCACCCAGGTCTAGCAGGTCCTCGAGTCTGCATGTCGTCTCACAGTCTCCACCCATAACGCATTTCATGAACGACTCATGACCATGTAAAACGACAGAGTTCGGCAGAAGACAGCGTAGGTCGATGTCTTTGTGCCAATTCTCCAAGATATGATATAATGCTCCTCTCATGGAAATATCCGAAGCTGTGCCCACCATGAATTCGCTAAGTGGAAGGTGGAATATTTGTTCAATGTTTCCTACGTCGAATCGGAAACCCATGCGTACTGTAGCCCCCAGAAGATTCCTTCCACAGCCTTCTTTGCGTAGCATGAAGTCAGCTAGCTTGAAAGCTTGCATTTGAAAGAAGTCGACCAAAATCCGAATCTCAGGCTGTGATGGTGCATATAATACATTTTGCGTGCACGAATAAGCACACTCGAGCCTGTAGTCCTCGACGAGCCCTTCCACGATACTAGGCCCGTTTTCTAAGAGTTTCAAGTTACGAAACGTGTCAAAAGGATGTGTTCTTGAGTGGTGCGGAGTTGTAAGCATGAGAACAAGCTCCTTATTCTGTAGGAGATACTCTTCACAGTCACTGATCATTGTTATGGCTGCGAGAGTGCAATATGTTCCAAAGTCGAGCCGCCATGCGAGGGTCCGAGAAATTTCATCGTTCTCAAGAGTCCTAGTCCCGTTAATCTTGTACTGAAATGCCTCTGAGAAAATGGCGCTCGCTCGTTCGCTTAGGGCTGTGGACTTGTCTAGGCGAAAACAATATTTCGTACTAAAACGGATCGATGTCCCCAGATATTCCATGACAGTGTAATGCGAAAATGAAATTTCCGGTTCTTCATCAAGGTAAAAGTCGTCTGCCGTGACAGTTATGAGACATCCGCATAATTCGCGAAGAAATTCGACATCGTAGCGGTAGTCCTTTGCACAGGGGTTTTGCTGAGTGAAGTCTCTTTGGATTCCTCCAACCAATACGTCGTAGCTCATCGACTCATTTCCGAAAACTTTGTTGTTGAAGCAAATCCAATCAAGAGCCGAAACTACAACTTGTAGATTTTCTTCAGGTATGGCCTCGAAAATTCTGTCGTATGCTTCGTCGAGGGTTTTTGGGAGGTTTCTCAATTCGTTCATGATGGCTGCCTTGTTCCCTTTGATTCGTCGTAAGGAATCAAGCTGGCACACGATCCACCGAAACCTACGGAGCGCAGCAATTAGTCTCATATACACGATAGCGGTTGTAAGTGACATACTTACATTCCTTTTGCGCCAATACATAAGGCCTCTAGAGCCTCTTGGCGTACATCTTCTGTCCAGTCCTTCAACTTGTCATTGGTAGCGAGTCGAGATTCAGTATAAAGACGTATATCAGCATCGAGATACTCGTTTCGCATGGAAAGTCCCGTCGAAATCTCTTCCATCACTTTTTCAATGTCCATGTATTCGCGACTTGTTACCAAGAGGCAAATATTTGAGAATCTGAAGTCGGTGGCGAGATCCCGCAAGACCTTGAGAAGCTGCTCTCTTGAAGTGCTTTCGTCGATAGCGTCAATCGTGATGTGAACACTGCTGAAGTAGCGTGAGGCGGCCTCAAGAGCAGTGAACAGGTCGCTGAGGCTAGGATCCCTGCCATCCTTAAACATCTTCCAAAGATGGTCTGGGACCTGATCTGCCTTCCTACACATACGCTCAAGGACCCATCTTAAAAATGGAGCTGACTCGTCCTGATTGTGCCCGAAGTAGCAGTAGTAGTGAAGTCCAATCGACACAGAGTCACTTGAAGTAGACTGTCGGCAATTCTCTTCGATTTTCTCAGCCAGTTGTGAAGCCAAGATAGTTTTGCCGGCTCCCGGGATGCCATGAATCCACAGGCATCGCACATCTCCTTGACTGAACTGGGCCCACTCTGGAGTACGTGACATCCATTCGCACGTTCCAGGTTCGTGATTTGTGCAAGCTCGGTGGTGAATTGATGACGGGTCAGTATGTCTGAGCCACTTGTACACATCGTTTCGTTGGTTTTCTGACCATTGATGTGACGATCAGTATGGTAACAGTGGCCATCGCTTAAGAGGTCGAGTGGAACATACCAGTCAGAACTTGCTGGATGCGTGAAGTTCCCTCGCGTATGAGCTTGATGTCATGACTAGGGGAAGACAAGTCTTAGAATTCTTGCGGGCTACCCGTGGTTTGTATATGAGACACAGCATTTTCACTTACCTGGATGTTGCGGTTAAAGCGAGACTGATTGTATTTTTGCACCGTGCAACGTCTTGGAGCAGTTTTCTGGCCTTCGTCTCCTTCAACGGCCATGCCAAGTTCCTCAGAGTGACCTGCACTTTCCTTCTCTTCGAATCAGGGGGCCCTTGTGCCTGGTTTTGGTCAGAGGCGATCAACTTCTCCAGCTGTTCGATGGCGCCATGGCATTCTGCAACAGGCCCTGCATCTCCGTCCAAAGCTTTTCGCAAAGCCGAGTCTGGTTCTTCGAATTTGAGGAGGAACTCGACGTTCTGCAAGACTGCTCCCACTGAGGAACATTCGACGAGGATCGTGCGTAGATCGGAGGGTGCATCCCGGACGTGCTCGATGTAGTGCTTGCAGAGTGATACTACTCTATCCACGATCTGAATAGTTGCGAAGACACTCGCCACAAGACCAAAGGCTTCTGCCATCTTTCAGCCGTTGTCAGTACTCAGGGCAGTACTGAAACGATCGATGACAGCAGCGACCCGCGTACTTGAAAAGGGGAGAATGGCGAAGATACGATCAGGCTGTGGGCGGGGAGATCTCGCCTTATGATTCCGAAGACCCTCGAAAGCAGCTGGCAGAATGCCTCGGAGTGTGCCCAAGGCAGGCTGTGCCGCAAGCTGGCAACTCCAGACCAATCGTGCAATTCCAGCTGTTGGTGCACCTCAAACGATCTATAGCCTGCATCGCCTCGGGGGCTGGTGGCGTGTCAAGGCATATTGACCAATCGGATGCTTATCGTTGTATGAGGAATTGCATGGCAAAATATTTTGTCAAAGGTGTCTATTTCTATCAGGTATCGAGACATGCAAGTAACGCTAATCGCTCACAAATTGCTGGAAATTCTAGTCATGAAGTTGGTCATCAGTTCATCCTCCTCCGGGATCAAGCCAAACTTATCCGCGCTCCTCTCATTCTGGAAGCCCTCATCGGGGCTCGCCCAGCTGTAGCCCTTCCAGACGCCCAACTCGGGCCACATCTTCTGCTCCACGAGAGCCTTGAGCTTCTCATACCGCGCCGAAGCCTCGCTGCCAGCAGCAAGACCCTCGAGCACAAGCTTCCACGACTCGACAGTCTGCTCGAGCTCCGCGGTGCTGGTGACGCCCATCACGCTGCCTCCGACGCGCACGTCGCCGCTCTGGCCCGGCAACTGCACGCCAAGACCAGCTGCGGCGCCAACGCGGGCGTACTCCTCCATTGACCATTGAAGCGCCACGGTTTCCAGACGCTCGCCGGCATCGCTGGCGATGGCCGAGAGCTTCTGGCATGCCGAGCGCAGGTCGTCCGGCGCGGGGTGCCACGACGCGATAACGCCGGCCTTGCCCTCCGCCGTCTCCGTGCGCGCGGGAACGCCTGTGGATGTGAGGAGACCCATACCGAGCATACTTGCGTTCAGCACGACCTGCACGCCGGCGTTGCGGAATCTCCGCAGCGGGCTCTGCTCGTCGGTGTGATCGGGTCCGGCGACAACCTCTGCGAGGCCGAGCGTGGGGTTCTGGATGGTGAAGTGGCCGTAGCTCAGGATTGCATCGAGAGCCTCACCCGTCTCAGCGAGGATCATCTCGGCGAGACTGCAGAGAACATGGACGGGGAAACCACTGATACCGACATAGCGGATCTTGCCCTCATCGCGAAGCTGTCTTAACGTCTGGACGGCAGCAAGGACTTCTGCGGGGGAGACGAACTCGACGTCGTGCATGTACACGAGGTCGAGGTACGTCGTGTTGAGGCGGCTGAGGGAGCGGAGGACAGAGTAGCGCACGTACGCCGGCGAGTAGTCAAACTCGTTGCCGGCGATGCGGCCTGCCTTTGTGACCAGCACGTAGGACTCTCTGGGGATGTTGGTGGCTGCGGTGTGGGCGGCCAGGGCGTCACCGAGCAGGACTTCTGAGGGGCCGTAGTACGGCGATGTGTCGAAGCCGTTGACGCCGAGCTCTAGTGCCCTTGAGACGATTTGCCTGTACGGCATCTGCAGCGGGTCCTTTACATGCTGGGTGTTGAAGGTTGCTGTGCCTAGGAAGAGAGGTGGCAGGACGGAGGCGATGGAAGGCCGGGAGGCCGGGTTGAGGCTTGTTGTGGTAGCCATGACTCCTGGAGGAAAGGTGATATGAGAATGAGATGAGAGCTAGTGAGAATGGTTCGATATGTTCAGGGTGTAAAAGTTCGGGAAGAGGGGCGGGAAAGAAAAGGGACTTGTCAGGAAACTGTCTAGCCTTAAGACGGGAAGTGAGAAGAAAGGGCTGAGCCGGTGAGGTGTTTGCTACTTGATATGAGAGGGTCACAACAGGATCGGTCCAGAAGTCTGGTCTAAAAAGCCCGCATGGGGGGCCTCGCTGCTTGCCAGGCTCCTGGACTAGGAGGAATTCGTTATTAACCATAACTGTTATGTGGGCATTCGAGACCGCTCTTCTCCGTCCGCTTCTATTAGCGTACCCAGAAACCGTGAGCTCGGATTCTCTCAGGGCTAGGCTCAAGCCGCGTACGCTCAAAGGGTACTCGACTCAGTGCCGATACATAGGTAAGGTATTAGAGTATCAACTCGTCAATACTTACGAAGCTATGTTGCGTGGTGGGGTTTATGCGTGGTCTCTCTTGGGCCAAGCCCTTGGGCGCGAGCTATTTTGCCAAGTGAATTTGGACCGATTGCACGTGTCACCTCGTCTCAACTTGCCACAACTTGATAGACAAAAGTGACAGAGTGACAGCAGAACGACAAGTTGGGCAAAGCCGCAAAAGAGAGAGAAGAGAGATCATGGATGGGAGGACCCCCAAATGCAAGAATCCTTGCTAACTGCAATTTTTCTCCTACCGGGCCTCGCCGGCCGGCATAAGTGTGGCGGAACCCCCAGTATCCATGTTCCTCTGAGACTTCCCGTTTCAAGCCACCCTCCTTGACTCGTCATCCACAAACAGATCCCCCCGATCCCTGGCGCCAGTCGTACGGTCGCACCAGAAAGCACCGCAGAAAGTCAGAAACCCAGAAGATGCGGTGTGCTCCATTGCGGACGCTAAACTTGTTTTGTCATATAAACCGTCATTAGCCTCAAAATTTCCAAAACACTCGGCTTTCAGGGTGCGTTGTCCAATTCACTCTCGGGTTTTCCCTCATAATCTTTGCCAACGAGAGAGGCGGGCGGCACTTAACAAAAGCCCCTCAACCTTGGATCATCATCAGGGTCGTCTGTAGTTCGACTTTGCTTCTTCCGAGCCCGGTGTAATAGTTGTTAATTATCATCGTCGACGAGAGCAGGCTCCGACACTCACAATGGCCGCCGTTGCGTCCCTGGACCCTCACATTCGCGGCATCATCGATGATGCCGCCGCCGATGGCATCCCGTTCCGGGCCAAGTCGGCTCACTTCCACACCACCTGGGCGCGCACCTTCTCATCGCTGCCGGAGCTCTTCATTCAGCCTCAGTCGCAGCAGGAGGTTGAGAAGGCTGTCAAGCTTGCGCGCCGGTGCAGACGGCGCATCACCACGGTTGGCCATGCACACTCACCTTCGGACCTCACGTGCACGAGTAACTGGCTGGTCAACCTCGATGGATTCAAGAAAGTGTTATCTGTCGATAGTAAGCACAGACCCTCATGTCATATCTCATTCACTCATCCGCGTAATCTCTTGAGAGCTATGCTAATGCAACTTGACAGAAGAGACTGGCCTGGTTGTCATGCAAGCCGGCATCCGGCTATGGCAACTCACTGAGGAGCTGAATAAGCATGGCCTCTCATTCCCTGTGCTGGGTAGCGTCAACGAGCAGAGCATCGCCGGCGTCATCAGCACAGGAACCCGCGGCAGCACCCTGAAATACGGTCTGCTTTCCGAGGCCATTTCCTCCCTCAAGATCGTCCTTGCCAACGGTGAGACGGTCTCATGCTCGCCGGACGAGAACCCGGATCTCTTCCGCGGCGCCACGCTGTCGCTCGGCGCCCTCGGCATCATTACCGAGGTCAGCTTCCGTGCCGTGCCGGCTTTTAGCTTGCACTGGCAGCAGACGATCCAGGCCGACTACAAGATGCTCGACGCCTGGAAGCAGGACAACAAGCTGTGGACCCAGTCCGACTTTGTCCGGGTGTGGTGGCTGCCTTATACCAGGAGGGCCGTGGTCTGGAAGGCAGACATTGTCACAAAGGAAGACCTCGAGTCCGGAAAGGAGAAGAACCGAGATCCGCCAGTCGGCTACTACGATGGAGCTCTCGGTTATCACATATACCACAACCTTCTTTACCTATCGCGTTACATCCCTCGCATCCTGCCCTGGGTTGAATGGTAAGCTGAAGCCCCTTCCTTGATACACCTCATCCGACGTCGTCGACGGACTCAACGGACTAACTGACGTCCTACAGGTTCGTGTTCGGCATGCAATACGGCTTCAATGATGGCTACACCTCATCAGCCGTCCAGCCCATGGATAAGGCTTTGTGGATGAACTGTCTCTACAGCCAATTCGTCAACGAGTGGGCCATCCCGCTCCACCGCGGGCCCGAGGCCCTGATGCGTCTCGGATCCTGGCTCAACAAGCTCAAGCCGGGCGACCCCGACTACGTCGACCACGGCATTCCCTTCTCTGCCGAGGGCCTCTACGTGCACTCGCCCGTCGAGGTCCGCGTCTGCGACGCCACCGTCCACACCAGCGCTGAGCAGCGCAACAGACCCTTCCTCGACAGCACCGTCAAGGACGGTCCCACGCTCAACCTCAACGCGACGATGTACCGTCCCTACGACCTCGACCCGCCCGGCCTGAAGCGCTGGATGCAGGGCTTCGAGTGGCTGATGCGTGACCTCGGTGGCAAGCCGCACTGGGCCAAGAACTTCAACGTCAAGAACGAGGAGTTTGCTGAGTGGTACGGTGATGACATGGTCCAGTGGCGTCGTGTCCGCGATGAGGTTGACCCCGACGGACTGTTCGTCGGACCTTGGCACCGGCAGTTTGTGCTGGATCCCAAGAGCGCTCCTCTCAGGTTTGAGGAGTTTGAGAAGACGAGGCATGATGCTGGCCGGGGTGTAACCGTATACGGCACCCGTCTGGAGATCGAAGATGCCGATGCTGATGTCAAGGCATGAGCTACCCTATCTTAGTTAGTATCTGTAGTGTCTGACTGTGTAACTTCTTGGCCCGGTGAATGGCGTGGGCTGTGTAAGTTGGCATCTGGATCTTTCATAGCATTGATTTACTTCCTACAATACAATCACATAGATTTCAAGCGAGGCAATTTCCATCACCCTGCCCAGACTGCCCGGAAGCATTTTACATCCAAAGTAAGATTGTAAACAGTTCTTATTCCCAATATTCGAATACGATGAAACGTGCAAATCATTGCCTCTTCCGTTGATGCCTCCCTTCCCAGCCAACAATCTTTCTGGTCCCTGAATTTTGGAGCTGTCTCCTTTTCTGCGCAGTCGATAACCCACCCCTCCATCCACCCCCATGGGCACGCAGCTACGGTAGGCGAGGGCAGGACGGGGGTCTTCTCCGTTAGTGCATCCGTCAAGATGCTACTTGGTCTGTGGTGTAGGTAGATAAATGAAAGTCCGAAAATGCCAGATACGTGTAAAGACAGCTTTTTACGCCGTAATGATAGGTAGACCGTAGACCCCACACTTGACCCCCCTCCCCTGTGTGATGCTCAGATCGTCGCCCTTTAATCTTGCTAAGCAAGAAAGACAAGGTAAGGGTCCGTGTTCTCCTGGAGCGAGATCACCCAATTCTGGGCACCAAGACGAGACTCCCAAGTTCTAGAATTTCTTTGGGAAGGACAACAAAGTTAAGGAATTCTGGATACCCTTCATCACATCATTCTTCTTTTTTCTCGCTCGGGCTTTTCAAGGGGCGGGCGGCAGGGCATGGTTCAAGTTTTGGTTTGTCGGCCGCGGGACGCGGGTGAGCGGCAATCAGCGAGTTTGATCATCGCACCGAATTCAATGCCGCTCGTACGTTCGTCCCCCTTCGCCGGTGACGGTCGGCGAGGACGAGCGCGGGCTCTTGTTCTTTGTATCAACGTCGTCGTAAGGCTGCAGGCTCAACGTCGCATTGCGTCGCGATTGTGGATTAGTATTGCACTGCTGTATTGCGCAATCGCGCATTATCTAAAGACCCCTTCGTCTTAGTTGGCGGTATGGCTTGCAGCAAGGGGACGCACCAACAGCTTAGTGCTCATGAGTAGCCTATATGGCCAGCATCTTCGGGACGTTTGACGAGGTCTTCGGATCGCTGATACCGAATTGATTACTGCCAATGCTGTCTATATTGGAAGGTTATCAATTTCAACCTTGTTTGAGGTTCCTTAGCTGCGGTGTCTGAGAGAGAAAATAATATGAACATTTACTTGGCTTATATTAGTCGGAGAAATAAACGAAAAACTCAAAATGATTGAAAATCCAATCTTGCATGAAGATCCGGCCGGTGTTTGCCGGAGCCTCAGATGTTTGCGCACACGCACTGGCAGGCCTAGACACCTCTGTACTCCATCAGGTAGTCTGGGATATCTACAATGTAGGGGCTCGTCGCAGCACCATGTCTCCTACTGTACCCGGCTGGATATCCGATAGTGATATGGAAAGAAAGCGGCGAATCAGTTCGTCGACAATGATGCTGTCCCTTCCCCTGCGTTGCCGAAAACAAACAGATTGCTGGGGGTTCAATCCAGTGTTCGAACTTCCGTCAAGTCTGTTCCCGAACGAGCGCGCGGCAAGCTCGAGCCACAGCCGGTGGGTTGGCCCTTGGGCTGGGAACAGGATTGTTGTCCACAACATCCGCGTTCTCAAGGGGCCGTCCTTGCTTGCTTGCGTGTTGTGGAACCTCTTGCGTGAAATTGGTAACTGAGCCGCCTTTTGCCCAATGCCCAGTTATCACATAATCATGCAGTTTGTGAGCCGCGGTGCAAGGTGAGGGAGTGAGAGAGTCAGAGAGTGCCATCTAGCTTTGGGCTGTTCACCGCCGCTGGCTGTGCTCCGTTCCCCCCAAGCGCGCCCACTTCCCGACTCTCTGGATTCACCGAAGGGCTGAGCGCAAATCAAGGAAGAAAATTTCTATCAGAGTAGCACTCAGCCGCGTCAATCCCGTTATGATTAAGGTTCTATGGTTA